ATTAGTATTGCTCTTGTGGGGAGGACTAGATGTCAGTTTGAAGCTTGCATACAGTTTATGCATACTTTCATTTTAGATTTGATATTTATTGCATACTACACGTGATCACACATTTCCATAAGTCCTGGGACACCCGTATGGGGATAAAGAGCAAGGATGTAGCCAAGAGCATGATCCTACTCTTTAGAATCACTGTTGCAACTATCTGAACTGACTTCTGTTGGAAGTGCTAGCTTTTATATTGTGTGCACATGACATAACAAATGCATCACGTTGTGCAAAGTTCTCATTTCTTTTTTCTTTTTCCTCTTCCTTTCTAGATATCAAGAAAGTGCAGATGTTTATTAGTTCTTCCTGGTTCTTATGCAGAAATTTTCATCATCCGGATTCTTTAAATTAATATGCTTGTATTTTCTCTTTGCCAAATAAATTCAAACGATGTGGTTTGGCTTGCCATGCACAACTACTGTGATGAAGTGCTTTGTTGTTTTGTTCTTGTTTCATATATTAGTGCCCTGTTTCATTGATAACTGGCATGTGCTGCAGGAAGGACTTGATCCACCTGCTTCCTTGACAAGGCCATCAAGTCGTATTGCTTTTAGTGATATCATGGATTCCACAGGCATGGCTGATGCCCGGCCAGTGGGGTTATGTAATGGAGTGGAGTCTGCAGAGGGCTTGCATAATGGAGCAGCTTCACGTGGCCTGGTGGGAGTTCAGAGCCATGGTACAGCGGCTTCTCATTCCTTTGCATCTGCTGTGGGTCCTTCTCTGTCAAGAAGCAGAACCCCTGAACAACAACTATTTGGGAGGTCTCCCAGTGCTGGTCTTCCTCCTGTGGGGAGTAGAGTATTTCCTGTTGAGAAGAAGAATGTTGCAGGTCCAGATATGCCAAAGGATAATTCTTCTGGCATGAATGATCTGGATATTGCAGCCAAATTATCTGGCTTAAGCCTGTCAAAAGGTAGATCTGTAGATGAAGATAGCCGTATTCAGTCTCAGCTTCATTTGGATCTTGATAAACAGCGTGATTTTCTGTTCAACATGCCAAATGGTCATAATCAGAGGCTGCAGCAGCAACTGATAGAGAAGTCAAATGCTGAAAGTTTTTCTCTTGCTTCGAATTATCCTCATTTAGCAAAACAAAATGGGATCATGACAAACCGTAATACATCTGATGGGCAAGCTAATTTTGGCAGAAGAACTTCTTCTGCCAGTCTTTACTCAAAAGGGAGTTCTTCAGGCTTTGGAACTTTGGAAGGATCTAATGTTCATTACCAAGATGCAAATACTCCAGGCATGGAGTTTCATGGCCATTCTGGGGCCTATCCTGTGAATCCAAAGTTGAATATGACAATTAATAATCATCTTGATGCAGGTAATTATGTTTCTCAAATTTCTTCTGCAATTTTTTTTTTATATAAAAAAAGAACCCTCAGTATTTTGTTTGAATAAGTTAGTTAGCATTGACAGTTCTCTCTCCCCCCTCTCCCCTCATTTTTTTGGAGTGCAGCAGCATTGACTGGTAGTGGTGATGGGCATAGTCCGAACAGACTGGGAAACAAAGTAGGGTCTGGTCTTCATTCTTCAGTTATGGACCGATCTTATATTCAGTTTTTGCAAAGAGCTGACTATGCAACACGTAATGTTACTAGTCCAAGTGGTTATCCTCCCAGTAAAAATCACTTTGGCACTTTGCATGGAGACTTAGAGGGGCTTCAGAAAGCATATTTTGAGGCATTGCTTGCTCAACGGAAGCAACAGTACGAGTT